GTAAGTACATGTCTGTACAGTATATTGATGTTACTCGGTAAGTACATGTCTGTACAGTATATTGATGTTACTCGGTAAGTACATGTCTGTACAGTTTATTGATGTTACTCGGTTAGTACATGTCTGTACAGTATATTGATGTTATCAGTAAGTACATGTCTGTACAGTGTATTGATGTTATCAGTAAGTACATGTCTGTACAGTTTATTGACGTTACTCAGTAAGTACATGTCTGTACAGTATAGTGATGTTACTCAGTAAGTACATGTCTGTACAGTATATTGACGTTACTCAGTAAGTACATGTCTGTACAGTTTATTGACGTTACTCAGTAAGTACATGTCTGTACAGTATATTGATGGATCTGATTCTTTCAGAGTAAGTTAACACTGCCAGACCTATAACCGTCGCCGCACGAATTATGAGGCTAACAAAACTAAATATTGCCACACTCTCAAAACGCGAACCGATGAAGTGAATCTTAAAACATCAAACCTCATTATAGGGCTGTATCTAAACGTTGATGTTCATATCGAGCAAACAAATAATCCAATGTAAAATTTCCGAGTGAAATCATCATACGTTTTAGTGAAGTCTCCATGTCGGTCATGCGTAGAGGCCTGTTTACAGTTTAGGTCATACAAAGACGTGCCTCCGTGTGTGTATCGCAAGCATTTATCTGATATGCTTGATGGAGGAAGTATTTTGGGTTATTTACCTCCATGCAAAAGTGCGGATGTGAATCTAGAGGAATACCCTTTATAAAATATGAAATATCATGCTGAAGACACCGCGATCATGGTATACCAATCAGTCATATTATACTGACTACGGATTAACCAGTTGCTGCGATTGCCCTACATGTAAAGGCCGAACGTTAAGCAGGGAATGCCAACTACGTGTAACATCTATATGATTTAGCGAGCGATCCTTAAACACTATGGGCCATCGTGAGGTATTACCAACAGAGGCATTAGGAAACGAAAAGTTTGTCATTGAAAAGACATGAAATTTGATTTGAAATATCTCAAAGTTTGCAGGACACCAATGTCTATTCCCATATCACATTTCAGCAGGTGGCTCCCTCTTTCAAATACAATGGTAACCTCAGGTTTATTCTTTTATCAATCCCCGACCTGAGGAGTTGGAATTGGTTATAAACTGTACCGCTATACAAGGATATATAATTTTCGTTGTTTATCCGTCTGTCCGGTAACTATATTAGGATATTATGATTTGCATTATTAAACAAAGCTTGATGACACGCCATTCTATATTGATTTATGTACTATTACCATTAACATAGGTTTTATATCTATTTGTTGGATATTTATACGATTTATAACTGTATTACAGGTCTGTTCTCACGTTTTATGTGAAGGAACCAAAAACCGGCAGAATCCTTACTGCGAAAGAAATTACAGAGTAGGTACTTACTATTTTTATCTTTAAAGGGGTGTTTTTAACCTAGAATGTGAATAAATGCACGTGATACCAATAATATATTGCCATGAATGGGATTTATAAACCAGTCTGCTGTAACGGCCTTTCTGTAGCTCTTTTGTTTTCTATTGTTTATTTAGTTTGGTGGACAGATTCGGCAGCAGACTTATAGATGCAAGGATAAGATATCAACTAGTATCCATTGAGGTAATATTCTATAATCTAAAAGCCTCTCTAACATGTTGATTAGTCAGATAAGATATCAACTAGTATCCATTGCGGTAATATTCTATAATCTACTAACCTCTCTAACATGTTGGTTAGTCAGATGAAATATAAACTAGTATCCATTGAGGTAATATTCTATAATCTACTAACCTCTCTAACATGTTAATTAGTCAGATGAAATATAAACTAGTATCCATTGAGGTAATATTCTATAATCTAAAAGCCTCTCTAACATGTTGATTAGTCAGATAAGATATCAACTAGTATCCATTGCGGTAATATTCTATAATCTACTAACCTCTCTAACATGTTGGTTAGTCAGATGAAATATAAACTAGTATCCATTGAGGTAATATTCTATAATCTACAAGCCTCTCTAACATGTTGATTAGTCAGATAAGATATAAACTAGTATCCATTGAGGTAATATTCTATAATCTAAAAGCCTCTCTAACATGTTGATTAGTCAGATAAGATATCAACTAGTATCCATTGAGGGAATATTCTATAATCTACTAACCTCTCTAACATGTTAATTAGTCAGATGAAATATAAACTAGTATCCATTGAGGTAATATTCTATAATCTAAAAGCCTCTCTAACATGTTGATTAGTCAGATAAGATATAAACTAGTATCCATTGAGGTAATATTCTATAATCTACAAGCCTCTCTAACATGTTGATTAGTTAGATAAGATATCAACTAGTATCCATTGAGGTAATATTCTATAATCTACTAACCTCTCTAACATGTTGATTAGTCAGATGAAATATAAACTAGTATCCATTGAGGTAATATTCTATAATCTACAAGCCTCTCTAACAAGTTGGTTAGTTAGATAAGATATAAACTAGTATCAATTGAGGTAATATTCTATAATCTAAAAGCCTCTCTAACATGTTGGTTAGTCAGATGAAATATAAACTAGTACCCATTGAGGTAATATTCTATAATCTAAAAGCCTCTCTAACATGTTGGTAATTTGTTAAGCAGAGCATAATGAATGTATTCCTCTCAATAAAAAAAATGTATTACCGGAATATACACAAATATTACTGAGTATGATGTATAAACTATGAGATCTTCGTGAAGATAAACAAAAAAATACAATAGTGACATTGTCTATAAGCCGTTCAGATCTAAAGAGGGTCTGAAGAAGAGATGTCATGATTAAATTACACAACGTACACCGTAAATGTATCTATGTTAACATACATTGACAGGTTATAAGACACCATACATTTTAGATATAAATATGTTAACATACTTTGACAGGTTATAAGACACCGTAAATATATCTGTGTTAACATACCTTGATAGGTTATAAGACACCGTAAATATATCTATGTTAACATACATTGACACGTTATAAGACACCGTCAATGTATCTATGTTAACATACGTTGACAGGTTATAAGACCCCATACATTTTAGATATAACCTGTCAAAGTATGTAAACATAGATATATTTACAGTGTCTTATAACCCGCCAAGGTATGTTAACATATTTATATCTAAAATGTATGGCGTCTTATAACCTGTCAACGTATGTTAACATAGATACATTAACGGTGTCTTATAAACTGTCAATGTATGTTAACATAGATACATTAACAGGTTATAAGACACCGTAAATGTATATATATTAACATACATTGACAGGTTATAAGACACCGTAAATGTGTATATGTTAACATATATTGACAGGTTATAAGACACCGTAAATGTATCTATGTTTACATACATTGACATGTTATAAGACACCGTACACGCATCTATGATAACATACCTTGGCAGGTTATAAGACACCATACATTTTAAATATAAATATGTTAACATACCTTGACAGGTTATAAGACACCGTAAATGTATATATGTTAACATACATTGACAGGTTATAAGACACCGTAAATATATCTATGTTAACATACATTGACAGGTTATAAGACGCCGTAAATGTATCTATGTTTACATGCATTGACAGGTTATAAGACACCGTAAACGCATCTATGATAACATACCTTGGCAGGTTATAAGACACCATACATTTTAAATATAAATATGTTAACATACCTTGACAGGTTATAAGACACCGTAAATGTATCTATTTTAACATACGTTGACAGGTTATAAGACACCGTAAATGTATCTATGTTTACATACATTGACAGGTTATAAGACACCGTAAATATATCTATGTTAACATAGATTGACAGGTTATAAGACGCCGTAAATGTATCTATGTTAACATACGTTGACGGGTTATAAGACACCGTAAATGTATCTATGTTTACATTTCTTTGGCAGTTTATAAGACACTGTAAATGTATCTATGTTTACACACCTTGGCAGGTTATCAGACATTGTAAATGTATCTATGTTTGCATACCTTGGCAGTTTATAAGACACTGTAAATGTATCTATGTTTACACACCTTGGCAGTTTATAAGACACTGCAAATGTATCTATGTTTACATACCTTGACAGGTTATCAGACATTGTAAATGTATCTATGTTTACATACCTTGGCAGGTTATAAGACACCATACATTTTAAATATAAATATGTTAACATACCTTGACAGGTTATAAGACACCGTACACGCATCTATGATAACATACCTTGGCAGGTTATAAGACACCGTTAATGTATCTATGTTTACATTTCTATGGCAGGTTATCAGACACTGTAAATGTATATATATTAACATACGTTGACAGGTTATAAGACACCGTAAATGTATATATGTTAACATACATTGACAGGTTATAAGACACTGTAAATGTATCTATGCTTGCACACCTTGGCAGTTTATAAGACATAGTAAATGTATCTATGTTTACATACCTTGGCAGTTTATAAGACATAGTAAATGTATCAATGTGTACATACATAAGATGTACTTGGTAGGTTATAAGACACCGTAAATATAACTATGTTTACATACCTTGGCGGGTTATAAGGCACCGCAAATGTACCTATATCAACATACCTTGGTAGGTTATAAGACACCGTAAATATAACTATGTTTACATACCTTGGCGGGTTATAAGTCACCGTAAATATAAATATGTTTACATACCTTGACAGGTTATCAGACACTGTAAATATATCTATGTTTACATACCTTAGCAGGTTATGAAACACCGTATTACAATAATTTGATCTGTCTTTTGTCGTACGTAGCCTTTGATGCAGCTTTGATTTAGCCACTTGTCATTACCTGAAACATGATATTTGCCCATGAAATTAAACATCAAAATCTTGAAATCTAAAACAAACCTCTTCATTTCTAGGAGGCCTTTAAAACACCTGTAAAAGAAGTAGACGAGAGATTTAAACAAACCATGATATTGGTAGGAGCTACTGTGCTGGAGGCTTTGATCATCTGCATCCTTGTTGTCGTGGCCTGTCGTAGCCAGGGGAAGTAAGTTGTTTTTTCTGCTTCTCTTTCGTCGAATTCCATATTGAAGATACAATTGCACAAAATAATTTCTTCTTGCATTCTTCTAAGGGACAACCGATTTTCTATTGAAACATAATTATAAAGAAGAAAAATGAAATTTTACTATAAAATGTTTCAGATTCAAGCGAAAGCTAAAGGCGGCCACAGTAACAACGAAAGGTAAGTACTGTTCTAACAAAACAAAAGTATTATGTCGTCAGAAAATCAATTCCGTATATATATAAAAAACCTAACACATTAATGTACAACTCAACCAGTACAGTGTAACATATCGTTGAAAGAATGCATTTGTAATTTTGTAAAAGAATCACGAATGTGACAAATTCTACTCGGAGTTACATGATTTATATAGAAACCGGAAGATATCCTTTGGAAGTCGAAATCAAGACAAGAATGATCATGTTCTGGGTTACGTTGTTAACAGGAGAAAGCAAGTTATCTAGTCTGATATATAAAATGACATCTGTTTTTTCAATCAAATGAACAAATGCATTTTTAATGGAATAATTACATAAAAGATATATTTAACAAGTTAGGTTTTAGCAATTTGTGGATTTTTCAAAATTCATGTACTATGAATAGAAATCATTTCAAAGCTGTAGTTAAACAGAGGTTAACAGATCAATTTATACGGAAATGGTTCCAAGAGATACAAAACTCTTCTCGTTGTAAATTCTACTCCATATTTAATATAAACTTTCAATTTGAATCATATCTAACAAAACTTTATGAAAAAGATAGGAAAATTATCTTAGAAGAACGAAACAACTGTATGATGCAGTGTAATTCATTTTTCGCATATTGTATCTATTACCATATTGTATCTATTACCATATTGTATCTTTTACCAAATTTTAGTTACAATCACCTGTGTTTCTGTTATATTCATCTTTCAACAGTTTTGTAAATTACTATTTTATTAAACAGGTTGTGTATATAGTATCTTTTATTAATGCATATCATAAGGACACGCATTATATTATTACATATCATAAGGACACGGATTTTATTATTACAAATCATGAGGACACGCATTATATTATTGCAAATCTTAAGGACAAACATTATATTATTACAAATCTTAAGGACAAACATTATATTATTACAAATCTTAAGCACAAACATTATATTATTACAAATCATAAGGAAACGCATTATACTATTACATATCATAAGGAACCGAATTATATTATTACCAATCATAAGGACACGCATTGCATAATACGTTTCACAAGGACACGCATTGCAGTATACATTTCGTAAGGACACGCATTACATTATTACAAATCATAAGGCCACGCATTATATTATTCCAAATCTTAAGGACAAGCATTATATTATTACAAATCATAAGGAAACGCATTATATTATTACAAATCATAAGGACACGCATTATATTATTCCAAATCTTAAGGACAAGCATTATATTATTACAAATCTTAAGCACAAACATTATATTATTACAAATCATAAGGACACGCGTTATATTATTTCAAATCATAAGGACACGCATTATATTATTACAAATCATAAGGACACGCATTGCATAATACGTTTCACAAGGACACGCATTGCATTATACATTTCGTAAGGACACGCATTACATTATACATTCCGTGAGGACACGCATTACATTATACATTTCGTAAGGACACGTATTACATTATACATTCCGTGAGGACACGCATTACATTATACATTCCGTAAGGACACGCATTACATTATACATTTCGTAAGGACACGCAATACATTAAACATTCCGTGAGGACACGCATTACATTATACATTTCGTAAGGACAAGTATTACATTTCAACATTTCGTAATGACATACATGATATAATTACATATCGTAAAGACACGTATTATATTAAATAATATTGCATAAGGAAACATATTATGATATAACTATATATCGTAAGGACATACATTCAGTTATATTGTATCACTGGAAATCAACACGCTTCGTAATACTTTGTCATTGTTCATATTCCCTTATCCATTGTTTTAGATGATAAGGATACGGGAGGGAAAAAGAGTTCAATTGTTCCTGGAAGCAATGTTTACGCTTCAATGTAAGTAATGTTAAAATACATAAAAAGCACGTACTATGATCTACACAAAATATTGAAAGAATTTGCAAAAGTGTTATAAGTATTACAATTGTAACTGAATCTTACTAAAGAAAAATAAAAAGGTTATTGATATAAGTTATATATATTCACTTACATAAGATAGGCTTTATGTTATTAGGTATGTGTTAGTTCTAAAGGGAATGNGATTAGTCAGATAAGATATAAACTAGTATCCATTGAGGTAATATTTTATAATCTATAAGCCTCTCTAACATGTTGGTTAGTCAGATAAGATATCAACTAGTATCCATTGAGGTAATATTCTAGAATCTACAAGCCTCTCGAACATGTTGATTAGTTAGATAAGATATCAACTAGTATCCATTGAG